GCCCCACGCCACGGCCCTCACCTCCGTCTGCGCCTTGGGGTCCCCGGCCTTGGCCTTCTCCAGCACGTCTTCAAAGGGGGGTTCCACATCTGCTCTCGTGGGCCCTGGGGCGGAGGGACCCGCAAACAGGTCACGGTGGTTCCCTGTCACCTGCCCTGGGGGTGGGGCGACAGCCGGCCTGAGGCTGCTCCCCACGTTCAACCCAGGTCGGGACACGGGGGCAGGTGGGAGAGGACATGCTGGAAGCTGCTCGCCGGAGCCCGGGGGCGCTCCCCACTGCCCCCCACCCTGGCTGACAGTCGGGGCAGCTACGCTCAGGCCTGCGTCCAGGGCTCTGCAGAGAAACAGCCAGCACGGGGCAGCTGGCGGGGCCAGGACTTCTCGGCACCCCGTGGCCCGTGGCAGGGACACCTCGCCCGGCAGGGGTCACCGTGCACACGCCCCCAGGCCCTGGGGGACCTCGTGAGTGGTGGATCCTGGGCCAGGACATCTGTCCCTTCCCCAGCACCCCGGCCCGGAGCGCCCAGACAAGCACCCTGCACACCTCTCCGGCTGCCGCCGCGGCCCCCCGGCCCTGGGAAGGGCTTCCTGGGCTTGAGCCCGGCCCCGGCTGGGACCACGAAGCCTGCAGCGGCGAGCCAGGCCCCTCCTGTGGGCTGCGGGGAGACGTGAGGTGGGGAGCTCCGAGCCCCCAAGTGCTGTGTGGCCAAGGGGCGTTTCGCCCGTTTACCTCCGGCCGCAGGACGGCCCTTGGAGGTGGGGGCGGGCCCAGACCTGGCGTCGGGCAGCCGAGTTTCCTCCGTGGCCACTCCCATCCTCAGGGCTGGCCCAGCCTCTGCTGCCCATCACCTCCCCCGGGCGCAAAAGTCTCTCCCTGACAAGCTGCACTCAGAGTCTGCGTTTGCTCTGTTCTGCTTCTAAAATCAGAACACGGGCGATCTCAAGCACACATCTGCTGGCTAGAAAGATTATTCTTGCCGTGATTAATTTTCACAGAAGCTGTTCACAGCCCGACCTCCTGAGGCCTCTCCCCGACGCCGGTCTCCTGGAAACACGTGGGGCTCTCGGCCCCGCCCCTGGGCCCCGGCACCTACAGCCCGTGGCCACTCAGCGGCGTAATCGCCCTGCAGGCCGGTCAGGGCCTGGCCTCTCCCCATCAGCAGGAGCCTCCCCAGGGTCAAGGGCAACCGACCGCGTAGCCTCAGCACCAGCGAGAAGCCTCCAAGTGGCCGAGCGCGGAAACAGGACC